GTAAAATAATACAAGTGGTCGGTAAACAGAAAGTTGTTGAGTGATGAATCTGAAAACACATCACACAGTGTAACTTACTTATATAAACCCTGAAACCAAATTTCAGAAATCCTTGTCAAGTAGTTCCTGAGAAAAATGTGACAAAATTTTCAACTTGGCAGTCATGTGTAGAATAAAACAAGTGTTCGGTAAACAGGAAGTTGTTGAGTGATGAATCTGAAAACGCATCACATGGTGTAACTTACTTATATAAACCCTGAAACCAAATTTCAGAAATCCTTGTCAAGTAGTTCCTGAGAAAAATGCGACGAAAATATTCATGGGACGGACGGACTGACATATGGACTGACAAAAGGACAGACAGAGGTAAAACAGTATACCCCCACTTTTTTAAAGCGGGGGTATTATAACTATGTGTTATAACATTGTAAAAAGAAAAGTAAGGTTAACAGGCAAAATTTTGATGGCACTACATTGATAAAACCAGATTTTGAATATTTGACAAAAAGTCAGAAACAAGAATAGTGAACATCCTTGACAGCTTTGACCAAGACTTTCCACCCAACTTCGTAATGTTTGACCTAATATTGATAAGTTTGACCCAAACTTATCAAATCTTCTTCCAGTTAGATTATAGAACAAAGATGATGATGATGATGATGATTGATGGCTGCTTAACATCCAGCGGCAAATTAATATGCATATTCAGGACGAGAACATGTTAATGTAATATGAAGATTTACCATGCTTTGAACTAGACCGACACGCTGAACCGGGTTTTTAACGTGCTAGCTCACAAGGTCTGCAGGAAGACATGTCACCTTTCCCGGACACATTATTCTGACTACAAGCTAACCAGTCTTTGCTCTTAGTCCATATACGATGTGCTTGGCGGAGAAGCAGCAAATATCAATTTCAAAGTCTTTGGTTTGACCCATTTGGGGTTCAAACCCAAGACCTCCCGCACTCAAGACAAACACGCTACCATGAGACTACCCAGGCGGTTATATATAGAACAAAGAAAACTAAATTTTTCAAATATCAAAATTATCATATAATGAATCCATTTCCAGGTTTTGAAAAATACTGTACTAAGCATTAACACCCCCCCCCCTCCCCCCCAGTCCTTATTCTAAGTAATGGCAAACAAGAAGTAGGTCCAAAAACCTTTGATGCATAACAGCTTATCACTGTCAAGCTGCTAACCACATATGAAGCCATCCTATATAAAGTAGTTCTTGAGAAAAGTGGGACAAAAATATTTGTTCTCATTCAAGATACAAATGGATTGAAATAAGTATCAGCAAACAGGAGGTAGTTGTTTGACAGATCAATGTCAGGCTGCTGACCAAACATGAAGTCATTCTGCTAAGTAATTCCTATGAAAAGTGTGACAAAAATATTTACCATTGGCTAAAGGACAGCAAAGGTAATTTCAATATGGCCCCTATACTCCTAGAATATAAAAGGAATGATATATGAAAATATTTGAGATCATTCATTGCATTCACAAAAAAAAGAGCTACACATTGACAAAAGCAGCTGAATTTTTCAATATTAGTATGCAGATATTATAACCAGCTGATAGGTACTTATAAACCTGGTTTCCTAATACATGTATACAATACAAAAAACTCACTGGCTAATGTTCAGTAGAATAATCAGAACAGTATAAGTATAAAAGCATTATGAATTTTGACCTATATAAGTTTAAAAAACAAAAAAATAAAAATCTTTAGAGCATACAGAATTCCAAATATCCTGGAATTTAACTTTTCTTCTGGGTGACTCTTTACCAAACACCTTGTCTTTTTACCTTGTTATAACATAATTCATTTTCTATATTTTAATTTTTTTTTTTAAATTCTTGTGAGATATTTAAATGAAACAAAAATTTCGTATTCTCAATAGAAATATATATACGAAAAATTACATAAAATAAAAAAATATACTGTCAAAATATATATTGGTTTAAACATTGTATAAACACTGGGTAAAATCCTGAGGTGGGTAAAGAAACCCACCTAGTAACATAATAACAAAGGTTAATTAATTGGAATCATCCGATTGGTCAGTTAATTGTTGTGATGAGATCAAGAAATCAGGTATTACTAAATTTCAAATTACAGAAATAATGTTCATAAAAATAACAATATAGACACATGCACTATTTCAATATTGCTAGCACAGAATACTTTTCCTTAAATTTTAAAGACTGAACACTTCAAATATAAAAAAAATTAAAACAATATAAATACAACTAGTCATGACAGTATCTAACTTATATGCAGTAAAGAATAATATAGAATGGTTCATTTATATACTCAAGTTTTCAGAGAATTCTTTTAATTATTGACAGAATTATCAGATACAAAATTAAAGAGGAAACATTTTCTGCTTAAAATCGGTAAGAAATCTACCAATCAATCACTTCACTGAATTTTTAAAGTTTCTATAAAAAGTAATGGTATCCTGCCTATATGGTAAATAAGTGTCATCTGATCCTATTTCAACAGAAACCCATCAATTGAATAGCTTCAAAATTTCAAAGAAATTCATCACTTCTGCTGTTCTTTTCACAAAATCATTTAAAATTAAAATTGATAGCATTTTGAAATTAAATGTTCAAGACTAAATAGTATTTATACTCATATAAGATGCTTTGTGCAAAAGATTTGAGGGCATCCAATGGTCTATTTTAGGTAATATATATATATATATCTAAATTTTGCACATCATTGAAAAAGAAAGATAATAATTGCCTACACATAACTCATTGGAGAAACAGAAATCTGATATTTATGCACTCTTGACAGGTAATTTCTAAATATTTAAACGCTCAACAAACCTTTGTAAAATTTGTCTTGACATAAGAATTGTTGTATCAATATTCATAATCATGTGAGTCCAACATTCAAGATTTTATGTCATTTTGCCTTTTTAAACAAGGAGCTCCCAAAAGCCAGAATTGCCCACTGCCCACCTGGTAAAAAAATTTGTTTTTTCTTTATATGCATCAGTTAAGTAAAATAATGAAGAAGATGTGGTATGATTGCCAATGAGATGGATCTGACATAGAAGTAAGTAACTATAGGTAATTTATTTTTAGTGGCATTTTTGTAGGTCTTGGATTAATGATAATTTTTATTGTTCAATGTTTTTATACCTGGCTTCAAAGATTTTGATATAAAAAAAACTTCATTTAATGGCAATAACTCGAATAACAAGTGTGACAATTTGGCCATGCTGACTTACTTATAGATCTTATTTTGCTTTTTGAAGTTTAATTCTCTCAAACTCTCATAGTTTTTAACAAAAATGCAAAAAATGGATCAAAATCATCATTCAAGGAAAATAACTTCTATAAATGAGTGGGTTGACAATTTCAGCCATGATGACTAATTTTTAGATCATATTGTGCTGAATATTATTTTTTTTTGCTGTTTCTCTTCATCTGTTATAGTTTAGGCAAAAATGTGGGGAGGGGGGAGGGGGGTGGTCAATCATCTTTCAAAGGCAATAACTCAAGGGGGTCAATTGACGATTTCAACCATGTTAACTTATTTGTAGATATTATTTTGATGAACATTTTTGCTATATACATTGTTGTTCTTAATCTATCTTTGTTTCTGTAAAAAATTCATAAAATGTCCCAAACAAGAATATATATGTATATGGTTTCGGGGTGGGGATCTTGAATGTTTACAAGTTTTCAAACAGGAGGGAGTGGGGGTGACCCCAGGGGACTCGCCTTTTATTTCATTTGATTTGTTTTATTGTCCCATACAAGAATATATATGGTTTAGGGGTGGGGATCTCGACCGTTTACAAGTTCTCAAACAGGAGGGGGTGGGTTGACCCCAGGGGACTTGCCTTTTATTTCATTTGATTTGTTTTATTGTCCCATACAAGAATATATATGGTTTCGGGGTGGGGATCTTGACCGTTTACAAGTTTTCAAAAAGAAGGGGGGTGGGGTCGAACCCAGGGACTCCCCCAATATTTCATTTGATTTGTTTTATTGTCCCATACAAGAATATATATGGTTTAGGGGTGGGGATCTCGACTGTTTACAAGTTTTCAAAAAGAAGGGGGGTGGGGGTGAACCCGGGGACTCCCCCTTTTATTTCATTTGATTTGTTTTATTGTCCCATACAAGAATATATATGGTTTCAGGGTGGGGATCTTGACCGTTTACAAGTTTTCAAAAAGAAAGGGGGTGGGGGTGAACCCGGGGACTCCCCCAATATTTCATTTGATTTGTTTTATTGTCCCATACAAGAATATATATGGTTTAGGGGTAGGGATCTCGACCATTTATAAGATAAAAGCACATTCTCAAATTGAAGGGGGTGGGGGTAAGATTATATATGGTTTAAGGAGACTTAATTATCTACAAAATGGCTAATAATGAACAGTAAATTTCAAACTTCATTTATACAGTCCTACTAGTAAATTTCAAACTTTATACATGTGACAGTCCTACAGATCTTATCAGGAAACAGAAAATTTTCATATAAATCTGTCACTCCACTGATTATCATATGCTAAGATATTTCCCAGATCTAATTAATAATGAAAATCATACTTGCAACTTCCTTTTGAACAGAACTATGGTTTAACATAGTACTCTTACATTACATATATAATAATTAATAATGTAATTAACTTCAAAATGTCTAATAATATAGCTTATAATCATCACCACTTAGGAAATAGAAAATTTTCAAATAAATCTGTCACTCCAATTTTTATTTTGAGATAAGACATTTACTTTGCTTAGTCATAATATGATAACAAGAGAAAAATATTTAAAAATACCACTTTTGGATATTAAAAATTGTGATAACTCAAAAAGGAGAAATACTAAAATCCTGAAAATTGAACTTGACCTTCATTTAGTCACAAGAAACAACATATCTAAATTTGAAAAAAAATCATCACAGCGTTTTCATGTTATTGAAGAGACACTGTTTGGCAGCCGCCCGCCCGCCAGCCCACCCGCCCGCCGTACATCCCCAAATCAATAACCGATATTTCCTTCGAAAATCAGGTTTAAAACCATCTCTCAAGGACAATAACTACTGTAAGCAATCAATTGATAATTACAGACAAGTTGACCTATTTGTAGATTTGAAAACATATTCTGGTAATTTTTACTGTTTAAAATTTCTCTCTATCTGTAATAGTTTTCAAAATAACTAAAAAAATTGCAAATAATTGACATTTCTGTATGAGATAGATACATGCTGGTAATTTTTACCCCAAATCAGATTTGCTCTGCTTTAGTTTTTGAGATGTAAGCCTAAAAGTGCATTTAACACCTTTGTTCTATTTTTAGTAACAGTGGCTGTGTTTGTTGATGGATCAAATCCCCAGAAATACAATTTTTAAACTAGATACACTAAGGAACATTCAGGTAAAATTTGGCAAGATTTTGCCCTGTAGTTTCAGATGAAAAGATTTTTTTAAAGTTTACATTGACAGATGGATGGATGGATGGATGACAAGTAATGGCAAAAGCTAAAAAGGATAAGGCAAATTAGATAATGGGAGCTCCTGTAACCGGTTATAATGACAGACTCTGCATGTAGATTAAAACTTTTCTATTTTTATCGATAAATGACTAGGTGTTTATCTAATTAATGCAGATAATGTCACATGAAGAGCAATGTGTTAACAAAATGTAAATTTTAAAGTACTTTTATGTCTAAATCTGGCTGGTCATTACAATAAGAAATGCATGCACCCATTTTAAAATTTCTGAGCTTTAGCTTAAATCAATTTTCTTTAAGCCTTCATACTATCCTGTTTTTCTAATGCTTCTTTCATTTTATGTTTATTGCCTAACACTTTCCATACATCTGCTAAAAGATGAAATGCTGACGAAGTGGATAAACTGTTACAAACAGAGTCAAACTGGTCGACATACTCCTGAAAATATTCAGGCTGCCCTTGAAAAAGGTAACATTTATATAGACTATACAAAGCATTACATAAATTAGTTGATACTGCGGTTACATAGGTTTGCACAAGAAAATCAATTTTAGCTTCCATTCCTTGTCGGAATTGATAACTCTGCAAAATTTCTGCCATAATTGCATCAGTATCATTCATAACTTCAGTCAACATTTTGATCATTCCTCTATAATAGTGAGCAGCCAGGCGATATTCACCCTCACTGAATAAAAACCCACACAATTGTATAATAAAATAAATATCATGCATTGACTTGTAATCAATTTCAGAACGATAAAACTGAAGTACACTGTTTGGTACAGAGACATCATCAAGGTCACCTGGAGGACAATCTCTCATCATATCGGAGATTTTCTTGAAAGGGTTGCTGTGTATAAATGATGGTAAAGTATTTTCTTTCTTGTAAAGATCTACAAAGAAACAAAGCCACCAAACTTGATAAAACTGCAGTCCAGACTGTCCTGTTGCTTCTTGAATGAATCCATCTAGAGTTAAATCCTCATAAGGATGACCACCTCCATCACTGCAACACGGAAGTTCCTGAAGCATTCTATATCCAGTGGTCACTGCAGCAACAGCTTGGCGGAACTTCATCAGGCTTAGGGACGTGACCGCGATTTTAGAATATGCAGGTATAAATGTATTGAGCATTGAATCATTAATATTGCTATGTTCAGAAAGATGATTTAAATCTTCAATAATCTGATCAGTGGCATATGTTGTCATTAGACCATGACTTTCTGCCATCAGAACAACTGACATTATTGGAAATTCTCGGACAACATTTACTTTTTCGATCAACTTATACAACACACTGCCATCTAAATGTGAAATGATGTTGTTTTCAGGAATGAAGTAGTGAGGTATTTTCCCTTCCTTTAAGCTTAACAGTAAAGTTTCTATTAAATACAGTACACATGCTGATGGACAAACCTCCCATTGTTGACTAGGAATAACTTCTAACGTGTACAGGAATATGGTTTTAAGAACAAAAGTCGATAACTCTTTTCTCCACCCTGTATGATAGTCCATTAACAGTTTGAACACATGAAAGCAGTATTTCTTATTTTTTGTTACATTATCCTTCAGAAGGAATTTCTCGGGGAATGAAAAATCAAACATCCATTCGATGTCAGGTTTTGTACTGAGTAAATGACCTTTTGGTGTAAGAACACATGGCACTTTGGTCGTCTCATTAACTAATGTAATGTCAGGCCAACCACTTGGCCTATCTCTTGAAACCCATTCATTTGCTTCTTTTGGCCACCGTGGGCATTTTCCATAGTACAGCGTGTAACTAGCTACTTTTTGGAAAGGCAAATAGGGATTTTTAGAATGTGGTAAATTTATTTTCTTTGGTTCTGTCTGAAAGTAGACATTTGAAAGGTAATATGATCCATACACTTTCTTAAAAAACTTTTGTGGTTGATTTATCCCCAGTTTCAAGAATGCATATCCTGGAGTGCTATTTTCAGAGTCAATTATAATCACTTCACCATTTAATTCCATAAAGTTCTCTTTAAATACCAAAGTGTAGTTACCACTTTGCTTGTACAAATTTGGCAAGCTAGTTGCTTTAATTGTGTTCAGGCTTTCGTTTCCCATTGATCGATCGTTCTGAAGACTTACTGCATACAAATTTACAGAAAGACCTTCTTCAACACTGCCTACTACATCATATACTTTTGTGGTTGCACTTGTCACTATATAATCTCGACCACCATGATAGCGATATGGGGTATAAATGTTGCTTTCTGGTAGCACATTTTCTATTATGAAATTCAAGTGAAAAACTGGAACATGACTGTATTCATCAGTGAACTGGTAACTACAATCTGGAATACACAGATATTTAAAGATTCACATAAAAAAGACAAAAGTATGCCCTAAAAAGCCATTGGGAGCTGAATTTTAATGGGTGAACTAAACAATTTTTTGCTGTTTGTTTATATCCTGTATGAATAAAATGAGATGATGATATATGTATATATGCCATATCAAACCAATGACAAATATGACTGAAAGACATCTGAAGGACAATAATTGAACATACAGACATCAACAATAAACAGTTGTCTATACAATGTGTTTACATTATGAACACATATGATGTTGCCTGTTGATTCTGGATACAGTATTTATGATTTTAAAATGACAAGAATTTTTTTATACAAAGTTTATCATCAGTATTAAAATTTCTTTCCAGAAACATGTTTCTTAAATTACTTATTTGATATTCTTAAATCATAAATAGTCTATTTGCAAATTCAGTAATTGACCCTGTAATTAGAGATCCATTTTTAATGTTGCTTCCGTAAGGACAGACATAAATTTTCATTGATAATGAAGAGCTAGCAGAAATACCAAATTTATCTGTGAGTAATGTGTGTAATCTTTAGGTTTTTCAAATCTTTTCCTTCCATTTAATCTTTTGTTAAGCTACCTATTTTGTCCAGTATAGAACCAGTCTACAATTGGCAAAGGGAAACAACCTGTGTTAAAAGTGTGTAATAACAGAATCAAATCTGGCAAATGGACTATTGTACTAAGTTATTTCTTTTTTAACCAGTGATCATTGTTTGTAGCAGTGGAGAGCAAAATTAACAAGTGAATACATAGACATGTGCACCTTACAATCATTCCATACACCAAATATAGTTGACCTATTGCCTATTGAATGCAAGAAACTGACCAATGAACCATGAAAATGAGGTCAAGGTCAGATGAACCCTGCAAGACAGACATTTACACCTTGCAATCATTCCAAGCATCAAATAAATTGACCTATTGCTTATAGTATCTAAGAAACTGACTTAACCAGGAAAACTAAATTATAATCAATAACCATGAAAATGAGGTCAAGGTCAGAGGAATCCTGCCAGACAGACATATACACCTTACAATTATTCTATTCACTAAAGTTAATTGACCTATTGCTTATAGTATCTTAGAAGAAGACTAAACTACTGAAACTTAACATTGACCAATGAACCATGAAATTTAGGTCAAGAACAGATGATACCTCCCAGACAGACACATACACCTTACAGTCATTCCATACACCAATATAGTTGACCTATTGCTTATAGTATAAGAAAAAAAGACCAAAACACAAATTCCTAACATTGACCAATGAACCGCGAAAATGAGGTCAAGGTCAAATGAAACCTGCCAGACTGACATGTACACTGTAAAATCATTCCATGCACCAAATATAGTTGACCTTTTGCTCATAGTAATTGAAAACAGACCCAAACACAAAAACTTAACATTGACCAATGAACCATGAAAATGAGGTCAAGGTCAGATAACACCTGTCAGACTTAAATTCATTCGGTACACCAAATATAACTGACCTACAGCTACCAAATCAAAAACTTTAACCTTGATAACTGATCCATGAAATTAGGTCGAGGTCAGGTGAAACCTGTTTGAGGGAAATGAAGACCTTGCAAGGAACCCATATACTAAATATAGTCATCCTATTACCCATAATGAGTGAGAAATTCATATGATAAAAAGGCTGAACTTATTTTTCAAGCAGTCGCTGAAAATGAGGTCAAGGACAATGGACATATGACAGACAGAAACTTTGTAAAACTAGAGGCTTTAAGAGCCTGTGTCGCTCACCTGCATCTTCAACAATGGTCACTTTTTGGTAAAAATCATCATGAAAGGGCAGTAACTCTATAATGAGTAATTTGTAGATTTTGTCTTGCTGATCATTTTTGCTTTTTAAACTTTCTCTGTATCTTTTATAGATTTCAAGATAATAGGCAACAATGAACGAAAATGGTAAAATTTGTCATTTAAGGGCAATAACACCTATAAGAAGTTGTCTCACAGTTTTGATGCATAGGTAGTGCTCAACATTCTGAACATTTTTGCCCCAGTTAGATTTTCTCTACTTATAGCAGTTTTCAAAATAATAGACAAAACTTGCATTATACCTCTATGTTCCATTTTTAGCCATGTCAGCCATCTTGGTTGACAGGCAAGGTCATCAGACACATTTTTTTAACACGATACCCCAATGATGACTGGGGCCAAGTTTGGTTAAATTTGGCCCAGAAGTTTCAGAGGAGAAGATTTTTGTAAAAGTTAACGAACGTCAACGGATGCAACGTGATGGAAAAAGCTCACTTGGCCCTTACCAAGGTGAGATAATTAGGCATCCGTACCCTCTGAAATATATAGCTTAATACAAATAGATTATGTGGCTGCCAACACCAGATTGAATTCCTATGTGTTGCATTCTGCAACTTTGGTCATGTTTCTAATATTTGCCATTTTTTTCTTTAAAGAGTTCACTTTGATACATATTCAGAAATGGATACATGGTCCACATGTATCTCACTTGAACAATTTAAAGCTTCTTAGTTTAATTATATCAATATACATACTTATAAGTTTACTTGGTCTACATGGTAATGTTAATTTTTCCATTTTGAGTGACTCTTCTTTGATAATCTCCTGGTTGTCTATGTCCTCAGCTCCTGTATTACTTTTCTGTTCCAACTGTATTCTTCTTGTCTCTGAATTTCATCAAAAACCAAACACTATGAAGACACAGTTCTAATAGGAAAACTTTACAATCAGAATAAATGCTGTACTGTGAAGGCATATATCCATGTTGTACTTTCATTGGTTTAGTGGTTAACCAAAATTTACAAAAAATTACATTTAATATACCTGTTCTTCCAGCATAAATGTTTGTCCAGAAAGTACTCAATAATAAATGTATACTAGAGTATTCAGGGAGCCATAACTCACTTAAGACTTATTACCATTCAGTGCTTAATGTCAGTATCATCATTGTAATTATTTTGGACAAATTTGATCTGAACTGTTTCAAGGTTCAAAGACCAACTTTTTGAAGTAATTTTCCATATTTTATTGGCTTCCATGCATATCAGAGCCTCCAAAACACAGTAAAAATCCTTCTGAAACTTTATTCAAAAGAAATTGAAGAAATGGATTTCTGTTCCTATCCTAACCTAGGTCATTCGCCCATTAAAACTACTAAAAACAAACATAGCGTATGGGTTTTTCTCATTGTTAAAGGTGGTACATTTGCCTATAATTGCTTACATCCACTTCATTTGAACTTTGGTAGATAGTTGTCTAATTGGCAATTATACCACATCTCCCTATTTTTATATAGAACATACATAAAATTCATGGGTCTATTTTATGACCTTAATTTGGTCAAAAGTTTGTCAATGCAAACATTACTCTAACATGAATATTATTAAACCACTTATCATTCAAAATATATTTTATTCCCCAAGTACTGACTGGATTAAATTTATTATTATATATAATTCATGGTCAATGTCATTATGCTTCAAACCTCACACAAAACTACAAAATCTGCCAAAATAGTCAAAAACTGTGCCAAATTGCATTTAATGATCAAATTCATCAATTTCAACACATTAAAGACATGATAATAGTGACATCATGATCAAAACTTATTTTTCTGAACTGAAGTTGCCAGGTTATATCACTCTATAAATTTATCGGTAAAACTGACTTTAGTTTTTTTCAAATTTCAGGGCCAAATATTGGCTCTTATATTACTTAATAAATCCTTTCATAAATTATACAACCTAAAATATTCCTACCTTTATACCACTTTTCATGCCAGCCTCTTGGTCTTAAGCTGTAGTAATGCTGATCATTCACATGACCCAAATATATCGTTTTGACCTTGGAAGAACCTTGAGGTGTAATGGTTGTCTGATTATGTAAATCACCAAATGTACTTATGATGCAAATCTCTCTATCAATAACCTCAGCCAATCCTCTTCAATAAAAATTTAAAAGCTCTCAATATAATTAAAAATATTATTAGTTTATTTTTGTAGGCATTTTTTAATAAAATGTAACAGGTACGACTATTACAGTGTGTCTTCATACAGAATAGTTCAAATGATTAAATCATCACCAAAGGCAAAGTTGGGTATCTGAAACGCTATGACTGCACTACCTGCTAATTGGTGTAAACCAGAATCAGTTTTTTGCTGTACATGAATGTTTCATCCCGCCCCACCCCATCACTTCTTTATTGAGGTGAATGACGATATGTACTATATTAAGTGATAGCATTTAATTGCCAACTGAATGAGTATAGTACAGTATAAGGAAAATCAACTTTCATTACAACCTGATCTTCCAATTCTTCTGCCCACAAAATTATCCTTAAATTTATTTAAGTATAGACTGATCTTTGTTCTTTGACATTCTCTCTACAAGTCTTATAACTTAATAATTATCTGAGCTTCATTTTTTTTTTTAATTATCTGAAGTTAGACCCTTATTGAGTTTCAAACTCACTGTCCAGTTATATTCTCCCTAGGTTAAACTAAGTTCTGTCAGAATTTTCCACCAACCCACCCTTCACATTTTCTCGAAGTTAAACTGAGTAATGTCAAAATTTCCCACTCACCAACCCTTTACATTTTCTCGAAGTTAAACTGAGTAATGTCAAAATTTCCCACTCACCAACCCTTTACATTCTCCCAAATTTAAACTAAATACTACCAGAATATCACACTCATCCCCCTCCCCCTTTTACATTCTCCTTTATTTACACTACATTGTACTAAGTATTATCGAATTTTCCTGAATTTCTTTGACACTCTCCTTAAGTTTACCTGAGTACAATCTGATCTCCCCATTCACCATCTTTTGACATTCTTCTCAAGTACTCTTCCCATGATTCATCTTCAGCGACAAAGAAATCTTCCAAATGGGTACCATCATTCTGAAGAGGATTATTACGAAGGTATTCTACTGCCATCTGTCTGATACCGTTACATGTCATAGTTATTATTCCCTGCATTCTCAGTTGGTCAATGATTGCTCTGAACATACAATTTCCATCAGGGACAACATCATGCATTTCTAACCCTTCCGTTCTTACCAACTCATATAGCATATGTTGATTTTTTGTAAACGGGTTACATTTACAACATACTGAAAGAATAATACAATTGTATTTCTGTCTAAAACATTGAATATTTTCACACTTATAGGCATTAGTGTTTCGGTAATATATTTAATGGTTACTGTAAATTCAGAAATTATTGCGATGTTTTTATTATTGCGAAAAATGCGATAGGGTTATAATCGCAATAACTTAAACTCGCATTTTGAAATTGTTTATATGAACTAAACAGGATTTTTGTCAATATCGCAAAAATTAAAATCGCTTTTTAGTCTAAAATGACAAAATCGCAATAATAAATGCACGCAATAATTTCTGAATTTACAGTATTTAATTGTTAATGGCCTGTTGTCTTTCATTATGACAATTTTACATGCAACTTATAACATATTTTACAAACTATGTTATCTCATTTAGTCATAAATAATTTTTCCTACCCAAAGTTATCTGCAACTGCATGATGTAAGATCTGTAATGTTGGCAGATACATGTATATAGATTTAAATTTTAATCCTATCAAAATAAGTCTTGTAAAATTTCCTTGTTTAAAAAAACAACAGTGCACACGCTGAAATGTCTCGCCTTCTTTACTAATCATTGATATTATGTTGATAGTCCTAAATATAAAGCTTAATTACAACTGTCACATAAACTTAACATTAACCAAGAAAACTAAACATTGACCAATGAACCATGAAAATGAGGTCAAGGTCAGATGAATCATGCCAGGTAGACATGTACAGTTAACAATTCTTCCATATAACAAATATAGTTGACCTATTGCTTATAATTTAAGAAAAACAGACCAAAACACAAAAACTTAACACTGAGCAATGAACCGTGAAAATGAGTTCAAGGTCATATAAAACCTGCGCGACTGACATATAGATCATAAAATATTTCCATACACCAAATATAGTTGACCTATTGCATATAGTATTAGAAAAAAAGACCAAAACTCAAAAACTTAACTTTGACCACTGAACCATGAAAACGAGGTCAAGGTCAGATGACACCTGCCAGCTAGACATGTACACCTTACAATCATTCCATACACCAAATATAGTAGACCTATTGCATACAGTATAAGAAAAACAGACCAAAACACAAAAACTTAACTATGAGGTCAAGGTCAGATGACACCTGCCAGTTGGACATGTACACCTTACAGTCATACCATACACCGAATATACTAGACCTATTGCTTATAGTATCTGAGATATGGACTTGACCACCAAAACTTAACCTTGTTCACTAATCCATGAAATGAGTTCGAGGTCAAGTGAAAACTGTCTGACGGGCATGAGGACCTTGCAAGGTACGCACATACCAAATATAGTTATCCTACTACTTATAATAAGAGAGAATTTAACATTACAAAAAATGTTAACTTTTTTTTCAAGTAGTCACTGAACCATGAAAATGAGGTCAAGGACATTGGACATGTGACTGACGGAAACTTCGTAACATGAGGCATCCATATACAAAGTATGAAGCATCCAGGTCTTCCACCTTCTAAAATATAAAGCGTTTAAGAAGTTAGCTAACGCCGCCGCCGCCGGACAAAAGTCGCAGGCTCGACAAAAATGAGTACAGAAATCATTCATATGTTTTTCTTCATGCTGAAACCATTCTATCAACTTTTCATGCTCTATCAAAATTATTTTTTGGACACCAGCTGCATGCATTGTCATGCTAAGCATACCCCTACTCTTCAACTGAAGAATCTGATAGGTTGATTGATTGGTGTTTAATGGTCAGTTTTTATTGGTGGAGGAAGCCGGAGTACCCCGGAGAGAACTATCGACCTTCAGTAGGGAAACTGACATTCCTAATCGGTAGGAAAACTGAAAATCCAAGTCAATTAAGATTGTAGTCAAAAGCACATGCTAGATTCGACCTCTCAACCTCAGTGTTGACAGGCTGGTGATACAGTAGTTCGACTACTTAGACCACTCCCAAAAGAATCTGAAAACAGGAAGTAGGTGCCTAGAAGATCTGAAAAGCACTTATGTTTCAACTTATGATTGCCAAGCTGCTGACCAAATATGAAGTCATTCTGTAAAATAGCACTAAACGAACGTGTGACAAAATTTAAGTTCATTCAATACATTGAAAAATTTAAAGTATCAGCAAACAGGAAATAGGTGTCTAACAGATCAGAATAAATTGCTTCACCGAGCGCAGCTGGGTATGACCGCAGAGGTCCAACCCTGAACAGTTGGGGCAAAAATGGACACAATATTCGTGCTTGATACAGGTCTGAATTTGGATTGAAATTAAACGTTTGACACATAATAGGTTTCTGACACAGAATAACTGTAGTCAAAGAACTTAGAATTGGTTATATGATTTGAATTTATATTCAATATTTTGCTTTTGTGCAATTCACTATGCTGTTGCAAATTGCCCCCCCCCCCCCCCCCCCCAAAAAAAAAATTTACCCCCCTTTTTTTTTTTTTGCTTTTGTGCAATACACTATGCTGTTGCAAATTGACCCTCCCCTCAAAAAAAAAAATTTCACCCCCTTTTTTTTTAGCAAAATTTTTTTTTTCACCCCACCCTTTTCTTTTGCAAAAAAAAATAATATTTGAAGAAATTTTCTTTTTTATTTCTGAAATCTGTAATGAGAAAAAAAAATTTCCCCCCACCCCCAATTTTTTTTTCACCTCCCCTCCCCCTCCCCTTTTTCCAAAAAAAAACCTTTCCCTCAAGATATGGTCTTTATCTCAATTCAAATTTCCAATGGAGTTTGCCACCATAATTACCAATTTAAATACATCATAAAAGTCTTAAAATAGAAAATGACATACATAATCATGTCTAAAAATAATATATCTTTAATCAGCATTTTTATTAGTAACTTCTAAAAATAAATTGACAGCTAATCACCTCAAGACAATACAAAATTTCTTTATACATAATTTTAAAGCAGTGTAAGGGAGGTAATCTAAATTTAACATTGTACTTACAAGTGATTGTCCATTAACAAGGAAACCCTTGTTTTTCCCCATTTTTTGCCCTTGATTCCTAAACGGTTTGAGCCATTACCCCTCAAAGTCAATCCTAACCATCCCTTTGTGGTATGGAAACTTGTTGTACAATTTCAGAGAGATCCATATACCATTCCACAAGTTATTGTCTGAAAACTAGAAAAATGCTTATTTGGGCCCCTAATTCCTAAACTGTTAGGACCATAACCCCCAAAATCAATCCCAACCTTCCTTTTGTGGTTATAAACCTTGTATTTAAATTTCATAGATTTCTATTTACTAATACTAAAGTTATTGTCCGGAAACCAAGTGTCTTCGGACAACAATGACGACGTGATACCAATTTACGACCACAAAAATTTTTTGAGGTCGTATAAAAATGGTCACAATTGTTACATTTCATCACTTTCAAGCAGTTGACCAAATATGAAGTCAATTCTGTTTAGTAGTACCTGAGTAAAGTGTGAAAGAAATATTTAGTTGTTAGACGAATGGAGGGACAAACCAAAGGAAGGACACACAGACAGTAGGACAATGTTTCATTAGTTGAAGCCATAATCCAGTTTTCATTTTCTTTTTATGACACCATAAAAAGTGACTTAATATCAACAGATTTTTCAAGTCATGAGCAAAAATGACAGGTACCATTAGTGGAGCAGGACTTGCTAACCATTATGGCACACATTCACTTTTGATTTTGGAGGGATTTGTTCTTCCCTTTTTTGTAGTTTTCTGTGTAGTGCTTTGTAGACAATTATTGTCAATTCATCATTTTTCTCAATTTTGGCCCATTTGTAACTTTGATTTATCCCTAGGTACCAAGCTACTTTTTATAGTTTTAAACTATAAGGCACCTTAGAGATGATTCACATGTTTTTAATTGGTTCAAACTTGGTCAATAGTTTCAGTTGAGAAAAATTGGAAACTGTTATGAATCCTGGAAGTGATGACATGTGATGATAATAGCTGATACAGCCCCCACCTCCCTTGACATGCTTGCTTAAAACAGAAACAATTAAAAATACAGATATGTGGTATAATTCTAAATGCCACAACTATCAGAGAAGATGCTTTCTCAACATGCTTTAGATTTGTCAGCCAACAACAGTGTCAACAAGAAATACAAAATACAAAATGTATCAACATTTATAACTACGGAAGCATTGCCAACATTTCTACAAAAAGACTAATGCAAGTAGATAACATTGAATAAAAGCCTAATTTTTCTTTGTTATGATATTTAAGGGATAACAAGATATGGCTCATTGTTAAGTGAAAGCACGAACAAGAACAATTCATTTTGCTCATAAGCTTTTGTTTGTCAATACAATTTGTTTACTTACAACAATGTGGTCCTGAAAAATAAATTCATATAAAACTAGAAACTAGATGCATTGTAACTTTTTTCTAACTCTTAAGTTGATACTGTTGATTTATTTATGTTTGTGGAATACATGTACCAATATTTGTGGATTTTGTGTCTAAGGAAAATCTAGAATTAACATACATGTACTTGACTAAATACAAATTTTTAGTTACTTTTATAGGATATAATGAAGCAATCAAACTAGCACTTTCTTTACCTATCCCAAATCCATAGCATAAGACATCATAATTAAAAGAGAGGCGAAGGATACCAAAGGGACATTCAAACTCATAAGTCGAAAATTAACTGACAATGCCATGGCTAAAATAGAAAAAGACACAAAACAACATAGAAAACCAAAGACTGATTAACCAATTAACTCCACAAAGTAATAAACAGAGCAGACACCTTTTGTAGGCCTGGCTTTAGGTATTGCAAATTTGAAATATGCTACTGACCTGGACTTTGACATAAAGAATCCAAACTTATTCCTAATGACACAACCTATTGGTAAAGATTATACAGAATATCAGCATTTAAATAGTTACCAAATATATAGCAGACACCTGTTGTGATGGATGCATTGACTATAGACAAACCTAAGAATTACTTTTAAGTATTTTACATTACCCTGCAAGTTATATGTATGTAGATATTGTAATTGTCATATGAAATGAGACCCTAGTACTTATGTTACCATGGTGTTTTGTTAATGCTGCAGGACAATGGTCCATATGTTCTTCAAACACAGTCTGAGGGTCTGTAGGTAGTGAAGCAGCACTTTCATTTCCGCAAGAGGCATGGCATTCCTCCGGGTCATATAAGCCAGGCAATTCCTCCATCTCAGGACCACACTCTAAAAGCAATTGCAATATGATAATTAGTTTTTAAACCTCCCTAGATAAATTATGAGCTAGAAACATTACCAAATTCTCACACTTTAATATATAGGTAATAGAATTTAATTCTGTAAAAAATCAATAAAGATAAAAATTAAGAAACAATGATTTTTAAAGAGTTCTAATTAAAGACTGTTCCATTAAACATACTTGGAATAGACCAAAGGAGAGCTCTTCAAAATCTGAACTATGCAAGAGTGTCATATACTTTTTTGTAATGTGAAAATGTTAGTAAAATTTTGAAATTACCTTTAATTATAGCTAGGTGGTTACTCCATTCACAGAGTCATGTCCCAGGGTACATATATGTTTTAAAAGGAACAGACCTAAATTTAAACAAAACCCCTTTTTTCACTTGAAAAGAATGTGTTTTTTAAACATGGAGTAAGTTTGGAAAGGGATGTATTTGGCTTTGAATATCAAGTAGATTTTTCCAAGATAAATTTTAACCTGTTTCAAGTTGATGAATAGTCATGCAAGAAAGTGAAATAAAACTATTTTTGTCATGCTATTTTTACAAAGCGTGACATGTACACCTCACATAGGCTAAAAACAGCAATTTTGGTGAAAGTTGACAAAGTATCCAACCAAATTTAGGTCTAAGAAATATAAGGGCATATAGCTCCCAAACCAAAATTGCAGCAGTGCTAATTGCCAGCATGCAGCATGCATGCCACAATCACATTTGGCATGTATGCAGCATGGTAGTAATTGGAACGTAGAATGTTGAGCATGCATGCATGCTAGCAATTTGACAGTAAATGGAACAGCACAGAATGGTTGCACAGCTTAATTATTAGATTGCAGTTTGCTTGCACATTCTTGACTAGAATGTGCAAGCAAACTGCAATCTAATAATTGATTGCAGGTTAATAACATTCTTATCACTCGATGATTGCGGTTTGATTGCAGGATGATTGCGGTTTGATTGATTGCATGATGATTGCTGTTTGATTGCAGAACAATCAGTTTGATTGCAGGATGAGTGCAGCTTGATTGCAGGATGAATGCAGTTTGATTTTAGCCATGTCAGCCATGTTTGTCAGCAGGCAGGGTTATGGACACATTTTTTAAACTAGATATCCCATTGATGATTCTGGCCAAGTTTTGTTAACTTAATAGATATAGGAAGATGTGGTATGAACTACATAAACAGACGACAACTACTGTACGTCAGATTCCTGACTTAGGACAGGTGCAAACATTTAAGCCCAGTTAAGTTTTGGAGGAGACGATCTTTGTAAAAGTTAACTGACAATGACAGAAAACTGATGCCAAGTTATGGCACAAAAGCTCACACTGGCATTTTAGGCCAGGTGAGCTAAAAAGAGGGAAGTCCATAATACCTAACAAATTCAAACGCTGGACTATATCAACCAAGGGAACCAATGGAAAACAACTGATGACATCACTAAAATTTCATCTAAAGTGTATATCAGTCAAACATGATATGTTATCCATGTACTACATTCCAGATTCTGGACAGCAATACAAGTTAGTTGATGCTATGAATCTAGTCAAGTTGACATCGACAATTTGGAAAGGGGCACCAACTTTTCAATCATCTCAAAATGACCGAAATTGTGTGGGAAAATTTCCGGATCCTTGTTCCAGAAACCATTGGCTTGCTTACCGTTTACTTGTGCATGCATGCAGAAAATGACATAATCATCTACTAGCTTGCAACAGCCATTTTGAAAATCCAAAATCTAAAGGTTTTGTTTGCAGCATGCTTGCCACAAGTGGCCATATTAATTAGACCTTATCAAAACTACTCCTTTGGAAGTAATTGTCATTATATTTACATTGCTGTTATTTCTTATGCAAATTCAGAGAAAAGTGTTCCAATGTCCCCCACATTGCACATATTTTATCTATCCAAGGTATAAGGGCAATAACTAAAAAAAGCACTTTTTTTTTGTTCTTTAAAACTTTTTATTAATATCTTAAGAGAAATGAAGGCTTCAGAGCAAATGCAATGTAATTTCCATTATAATTTATATTTCCAAGGGGCATTGCTCGTTAAAAATATTTCATCAGAAATTATTTTAGAAAGTGTCAAAGACATTGCTAATATAAACCTATGATATAAGTTTCATAAAATTCTGGCAAGAATTGAACACATGAGAGTGATAACATTGCAATTTTCCATATAATCAATATTTTCAAGGGGCATAACTATTTCAAAAATAATTGATCTGCACTGATTTTTGATCTCTTCAAGTTCATTGATGATACAAACCTATAATATAAATTTCATAAAAATCTGGCAAAAATTGTACACATTAGAGCGCTCATAAGGCAATTTTCCATATAATTAATATTTCCAAGGGGCATAACTCTTTAAAACTTATTGATCGGCACTGACTTTCAAATTCGTCCAAGACATTGCTAATATAAACCTATGATTTAAGTTTCATAAAATTCTGGCAAGAATTGTACATATGAGAGCCCTAACAATGCAATTCTCCAAATAATTAATGTTTCCAAAGGACATTACTCTTTTAAAAATAATTGATCGGCACTGATTTTCGAACATGTCCAAGACATTGCTGATATAAACCTATGATATAAGTTTCATAAAAATCTGGCAAGAATTGAACACATGAGAGCGCTAACGATGCAATTTTCCATAAAATAAATGTTTCCAAGGGGCATAACTCTTTTAAAAATAATTGATCGGCACTGATTTTCAAACTTGTCCAAAACATTGCTAATATGAACCTATGATATAAATTTCATAAAAATCTGGCAAGAATTGTATAGACGCCCGGTATTTCCATGTCCCCTGCAACAAGTTGCGCGGGGGCAAAATAGCTAAAATATATATATTTGCCCACTTCCCCAACAAATTAAACGAAACTATGTATCTTCAAGGCAAGTAGGTAAACATGATGGAAGACAACAGCATGATTCAAAGTACATCATATGGTATGGCTTCAACACCATTAATGCGACAACATAGTTTGCCTTAATGTAGTTCAGTATCAAATATTAGACACTGGTTGATGCTAAGAGGGTAATGGAAAGTTGTGACAAAAGTGTACTCTTACACTTACAAGGAGGGGTTAAACCAGTTATTCTACTTCAGCATGAGTTAAGATAAATCACTAAAACAAAATCCTACCTAGCCTACCTACTGTGATTCATTATTATTCATGGTTACTAGTTTTCATGGATTTCATGGAGATAAGTGACCATGAAATAACAAAGAAAATACAATTATTCCTCAATCTATGAACATTGATAACCTTGAAATTAAATAAATCCATGGTCTGAATTATATATTTCTAAAACCAAACATTTTTTATCTCAAATAACTAAAAATAGATATAAACCGTAGGATGACCTATAATTTTTTTTATCTTCATCATTTGAACTTTGGTGGATAGTTGTCTCATTGGCAATCATACCACATCTCTTTATTATTTTTTTTATATAAGCATTTAAAAAAAAAAAATTTTTGGTTTTAGAACATATAAACCATAGCTATAAATATGATAAACTACCTGCACCAAATATATCATCCAGTGAATCATCAAAGTCATCCATTTCAGGACTGAGGCAGGTGTTACTCTGCTGATTCTTGTAGGGATAGGTATCATCCACACTGCTGTCTGACTTATTAAGCTCTGTTTTCAATCCCCCAGAACTGTCTTTTTCAGATGCTAATTTCCTCTGACTAGATCCTGAAGTTTTAAAATCATCTGCAGATTTTTTTGAGGATTCACCCTCACTTCGTAAATCACTAGTAAAAGACTGACTAAATCCTGGGTTACTATCTTTATCAAGATTTGACCTTCTGTTTCCACTGGTTGGAAATGACTGACTGAAATCTGGCTTCTTCTGCTTGGAATTTTCTGATAAACTATGAAGACTACAATCCATCGAAATGCTTAATTTATATTCATCTGTAATGACTCTATTATTACTACCTGTGTCCCCGACTTCAACTGAATCATTATCTTCAGTAGATTTATCATTGTTGAAATGATCTACCCTATCAATAACTGACTTTTCACATGTATTCAAAGACTTATCATTTTTAGTTTTCTCATCTTCATCAATAGAAATTGATAACTGAAACTGTAGTCTTGTTTCATTTTTTCTTGGTGGTTTCAGAGGTGGCCTTGAAGGTTTTGGCGAGAATTCAAAATCTGTGCTGTGTTCCTTGGTATTTTCATTTTTATTCTTGTCTAATGTTCTCGATTTCCCTTCCAAAAAACCAGGAAAAGCTTCATTTAAAAATTTCATTGTAACAGATGACCCGAAATCTTGACTTCTTTCTTCATAAGAGTCATCATCAGATGATAATGGATGTTTGTCATCGCTGTCACCTGGAAACCACATTAATGTTACAAAAGGAAATGGAAGTCTTCCATCTGTTGCATTGTATGATTTCATCATTTCAAAGTCATTGATGATTCTTTTTTCTGGAGGATCTTCCCTTATTAACCTATTTCTTATCTTCAAAGGACAGGTTTTACTACCACAGAAACAAGATATTTGTCTCTCCTCCTTGTCATCACAATTATTTTCAAACACGTCTTGCACCTGTAAACAGTTCTTTGTTAACCTTGTATGATGTTTTCCATCTTTTTGGATATTATGGTGATTTGCCTCATCATTATCTTCTGTGATTTGATTTACATCCTTATAACGAGGTTTCCAAACATCAGACAGGAAGCTTGATGAATTCTCCGTCTTTTTCTGGAATATGTCTTTCAAGGGCATATTGTTTCTAGGTAATTTTGATGATAAATCTACAAAATACATTTTTCAAGAATTAATTCCCATCAACATCAATCAAAGGTACAATTATGTACGGTGATTTCATTATTAAAATAATTGTTTCTTCATAAAAGGAATTTCCATCATATAACTTGGAACTATTTCAGACAATCTATATGTTCCTTCAATCCCATTGGATGATCACGTTGTCAGCCATCTTGTGCAAATTATTTTGAGTTCCACTTCCTTTTTCTATTTCAATACTAGCATTAAAAAAACTTCGTCAAGTAATTGTCAATGTTGTTTTCATAATTTCACTAAGCTCATCTTAAACTACAATCACGAAAAATTGTTTAAAACTTTGCTAGTTCAAAAGATTTTGACAGTGAAAAAATCTCAGTCTGTAAAAAAATACAGATGACTTTAGATATCTCAAAATTGATTGGACAAAAAAAATTATTCAGGATAACAGGAATTTTGAGATAGCAGGAGTAAATATAATGAAAATCTATAAATTAGGATCAACATCTTGCTTTAAGATATCAGAAATTTTTAAATGAAAGAGCTTGAGATAATGAGATTCAATTTAATATATGGAAAATCAAAAGAACTCCAGATTGTTTTACCTTTAAAATTTAAATGCTTATATCTCAAAAACAAGCACACAGATACCCAAGGAATACATTTTTGGGGGCCTATTTTTACCTCTGGAGCAAAAGTCTTTCACTAGATATATATATCAACTGTTTCAGAACTATTTTATAACTAAAAAATGAACTTCCTTAAACCTGGTATATATTCTTAATCATATTGGTAATTTTCATGCAAGTTAATTTTCCTGTCTCTTTATAACATTACAAGTCCTTGACCAACTCATGGTTCTTTTTAGGTGTATATATAGATATATCATAATATATCTATATATTATAATAAGTTTTTCAAAGTAAAGTATCATAAGGATGACATAAATTTTGACAAACAACAAAAAAAACAGATACTCAAAGGAGAATGTATATGATTGCTTTAAGTCCTAATCTTGGATCTATTTTGAATTAATTAATATTAATTTTCAATACAGGCATTCGAAGCTGAATGACAATACTAAATAAAGAATATGTTAGGACACCATGCTGCCCTCACATATATAACACTCAACAGTGAAATCAGAGTTAAAACCCTAATTTGGCATATATATATTAAACTATTCACTTCATAATTAACATGTGTACAGTTTCAAAATCATGTAAGCACAAACTACCTTAAACCAAAACTTTAACATATCTTTAACCAAAACTTTAACCTATTTTTAACCAAAACTTTAACCTAACTTAAACCAAAGCTTTAACCTATCTTTAACCAAAACTTTAACCTATCTTTGACCAAAACTTTAACCTAACTTAAACCAAAGCTTTAACCTATCTTTAACCAAAATGTTTCTGTACTAACAACAAAATTATTATATTTAAATTTACCTGTGTACGTTACTTTATTTAACACCATTTTGTTCTAGGTTAAAGTTGTCTTTTTGGCATTGATACATCTTTTTTATTTATATTGTGTCATAGATCAAACTTATTTCGTTCAGTGTATATTTACTTGTTTTTGTGTATGTCTTTTTGATCGAGTTAAGCCATTTCAATTGATATTTTATTGTGTGTCTTTTTATGTTGTAATGTTACACCACTGTTTCAGGTTAGGGTGAAGGTTGGTGCCTGTTAAACTTTAAACACGCAGCATTTTTATGCACCTGTCCTAAGTCAAGAGCCTGTTGTTCAGTGGTTGTTGTTTGTTGGTGTGGTTCTTAAGTGTTTCTTGTTTCTCGTTTTTTATATAGATTAGAACGTTGGTTTTCCTGTTTAAATCGTTTTACACTGGTCATTTTTGGGCCCTTTATAGCTTGCTGTTCGGTGTGAGCCAAAGCTCTGTGTTGAAGGCCATACTTTGACCTGTAATTGTTTACTTTTTACACATTGTGACTTGGATGGATAGTTGTCTCATTGGCACTCATAACCACATCTTCTTATTTATATCTAGAGCATTTAGAGCTTGATATTTGGTACAGAATAGATCTAGAGCATTAAGAGCTTGATATTTGGAACAGACTAGACATAGAACATTAAGAGTTTGATATTTGGAACAGACTAGACATAGAACATTAAGAGTTTGATATTTGGTATAGACTAGACCTAGAGCATTAAGAGGCTGATATTTGGAACAGACTAGACATAGAACATTAAGAGTTTGAAAATTGGTACAGACTAGGCATAGAGCATTTAGAGCTTGGTATTTGGTACAGACTAGACCTATATAACATTTAGAGCTTGATATTTGGTACAGATTAGACCTAGAACATTTAGAGCTTAATATTTGATACAGACTAGACCCAGAGCATTTAGAGCTTGATTTTTGGTACAGACTAGACATAGAACATTTAGAGCTTGATTTTTGATACAGATTAGACCTAGAGCATTTAGAGCTTGATATTTGATACAGACAAGATCTAGAGCATTTAAAGCTTGATATTTTGGTCAATATCCCTAATGAGCCTCAAATTGAGACACACAAAAGAAGTGGGTAAAACAAAAAATCTCTGTGTAGTGATATTGGACATGTTTAAATTCTTAACAAGTGACTGAGCTTAACAATTTGTGCCAATTTGGAGAGCAGAGGACCATAGAATAAAATTGTAAAACTATGGAGTTATTAAATGTTTACAAAGAACTTAATTTTTAAAGAACTTATTGCATGTGAAAAAAGGGATTTTTTACCTCGAAAAGCTGCATCACAAAAGGTTTTTTGGGGTGTGCTAAATTGTGGATAAACAAATCTCACTTAGTACCCCGAATATTTAACCACAAATGAAAAAATGTCTCACTTCAAAACAAGCCATCATACATATCCAAGTTTACAATATGAGCAGAGGAATTGAGGAAAAGGCTTCCATTGCAGCCTACCTGAATAAATGGCACATCTGTACCCATTTAGTACAGACATGACCTATATAGCATTAAGAGCATGGTATTTGGTACAGACTAGACATAGAACACTTAGACCTTGATATTTGGTAAAGATTGGACCTAGAACATTTGGAGCTTGATATTTTGTACATACAAGACCTACAGCACTAAGAGCTTGGTAATTGGCCCAGACTTGACATTTATAGCATTTAGAACTTGATATTTTGTACAAATTTGACCTATAGCACTTAGACATTGATATTTGGAATAGACTAGACCTAGAGTATTTAGAGCATGATATTTGTTACAGACTAGACCTAGAGCATTTAGAGCTTGATATTTGGTACAGACTAGACATAGAACATCTAGAGCTTGACATTTGGTACAGACTAGACCTAGAGCATTAAGAGCTTGATATTTGGTAAAGACTAGACCTAGAGCATTAAGAGCTTGATATTTGGTACAGACTAGACATAGAACATTTGGTACATTTGATACAGAAAGATCTAGAGCATTTAGAGCTTGAAATTTGATACAGACTAGATTTAGAGCTTTTAGAGCTTGATATTTGATACAGACCAGACCTAGAGCATTTACAGCTTAATATTTCGTACAGATTAGACCTAGAACATTTAGAGTTTGATATTTGGTACAGACTAGACAACAGAATATAGAGCTTGATATTTGGTACAGACTAGACCTATATAGCATTTAGAGCTTGATATTTGGTACAGATTAGACCTAGAACATTTAGAACTTGATATTTGGTACAGACTAGACAAGAGAATATAGAGCTTGATATTTGGTACAGACTAGACCTATATAGCACTTAGAGCTTGATATTTGGTACAGATTAGACCTAGAACATTTAGAGCTTAATATTTGGTACAGACTAGACCTAGAGTATCAAGAGTATGAGGTTTGGTACAGACTAGACATAGAACATTTAGAGCTTGATTTTTAGTACAGATTAGACCTATAGCATTTAGAGCTTGATATTTGATACAGACAAGATCTAGAGCATTTAGAGCTTGAAATTTGATACAGACCAGACCTAGAGCATTTACAGCTTAATATTTCGTACAGATTAGGCCTAGAGCATTTAGAGCTTGAAATTTGATACAGACTAGATCTAGAGCTTTTAGAGCTTGATATTTGATACAGACCAGACCTAGAGCATTTACAGCTTAACATTTCGTACAGATTACACCTAGAACATTTAGAGCTTGATATTTGGTACAGACTAGACAAGAGAATATAGAGCTTGATATTTGGTACAGACTAGACCTATATAGCATTTAGAGCTTGATATTTGGTACAGATTAGACCTAGAACATTTAGAACTTGATATTTGGTACAGACTAGACAAGAGAATATAGAGCTTGATATTTGGTACAGACTAGACCTATATAGCACTTAGAGCTTGATATTTGGTATAGATTAGACCTATATAGCATTTAGAGCTTGATATTTGGAACATATTAGACCTAGAACATTTAGAGCATGATATTTGGTACAGACTAGACATAGAACATTTAGAGCTTGATATTTGGCACAGATTAGACATATATAGAATTTAGAGCTTGATATTTGGTACAGATTAGACCTATAGCACTTAGACCTTGATATTTGGTAAAGATTGGACCTAGAACATTTGGAGCTTGATATTTTGTACATACAAGACCTACAGCACTAAGAGCTTGGTAATTGGCCCAGACTTGACATTTATAGCATTTAGAACTTGATATTTTGTACAAATTTGACCTATAGCACTTAGACATTGATATTTGGAATAGACTAGACCTAGAGTATTTAGAGCATGATATTTGTTACAGACTAGACCTAGAGCATTTAGAGCTTGATATTTGGTACAGACTAGACATAGAACATCTAGAGCTTGACATTTGGTAAAGACTAGACCTAGAGCATTAAGAGCTTGATATTTGGTACAGACTAGACATAGAACATTTGGTACATTTGATACAGAAAGATCTAGAGCATTTAGAGCTTGAAATTTGATACAGACTAGATCTAGAGCTTTTAGAGCTTGATATTTGATACAGACCAGACCTAGA